CCTACCTGATCCAATCAAATGTTAAACTTTAACTCTGGGCTTCAAATCAAAAGGCCATCATGGGCTCAACCACACATATTGACCCTGAAGACATGAAGGGCTGAAGGGATGTGGCCAGAGCTGAGGACTATACACTCAGAACTCTGTACCCTCCCAAATACAGTCTTATCCAGCAGATGTTCCCAACCCCCAACCCCCAACCCCCACCCCTATGACCTAAACCACTTCCAACACCCTCAAACAAGTCAACGCACAAAAACCAAAGAAACAAAACACGTGGGAGAAAATTCTCCCCAGTTAGAATAAACGCAGTGGATACCTTTAAGAATATATCAGAACTCCAAGACAGAAAGTGTTGTGAACACCTGAACTATCTTTATCTGTGTACGTGGCAAAGAAGACCCCAGGTTTAGCTCCTGGGCTCTGAGTAGGAAGTTACCACACAGTTTATTGTTGCCATGGGCACCCATCCAAACGTTCTGTGCCCGAGGGTCCTCATCTGAACACGGGGCTAGAAGAACTGTCTGCTACTAAGAGTGGGAGAGACACTAGGTACATCCAAAGCACCACAGAGTTAACTGCACACTACTTCAGCTACTTAGAAGGATGGCTGACACACCGGCAGCCTGTCAATATGTTTTAAAAGTTTAATATATATTTTGGAATGAACAAATGTATTAATATGTGAATACATTTCATAGTGTTATGTGAAATGTGATATATGAATACTGATGATATTCTCAGGAAAGAATATGACTATTAATATTTTAAAAGTTAAGAAACATGTCATTTCAGTCCATATAACTATAAAAAACAAAGTGCAGGGTTTTCTGCTTTTTGGTTTTTTTTTTTAGAAAAACTCTGTATTCATACACTAGATTTTAACACTAGATTCAGTGTTATCTACTGATGGAAAACCAAATGAGCTAAGTTTATCAAATGCTTGTAGAGATGATCCTCAAAGCTCAGGAAGCAGCCTACTTACAGGCTAACTGTCAGGAAGAGAAGATAGGATTTTACTATCTGTTTGCAAGCAATTGATAATAATAATAATTTTAAAACCCAAGATTTCTTGACAGATGCTGTCAGGAGAAGGAGAGCTGGGAAATCGTTTCCTTCGTGTGATTTTCTAGACGGAGTGCTCAAGCCTATTTCTGTGTTTTGGGAACTGAAAATAAAAATGGCAATTCTCATTCGCTTTACATAGGACTTAGCTTGGAGCTATCTTTTCTCCAGGTAAAAAATGAAACAGAAAACAGTCCCAATGTCTTAAAAATATGGAAACTGCAATGTGTGCATGCACACCAGCAAATGTGATGGGGGAGGGAGGTAAAAAATTTGCACAAAGCAGACTGAGATAAAATCGGAAATATCTGACCTCCACATTTCTAGAAGGAAACATTAATTAGGCAGAAATAACAACTGACCTTTTACTTATGGTATCTTCAACAAAATAATTTGTCCTTGTAGCAATGTATATATTTATCTAATGTTTGGCTGAATTCAGTATCTAAAACTCTAGGGAAAACAAGCAACCAATTTAATGTTTTATTGTAAATCAAAATATTTACTTTTATAACTCCCAATTTACATCCTAAATCCATAACCCTCAAAAGTTTCATAAAACAAGAGGCTTTTTTGTTCCAGAATCAGACTATTTTCTTCTATGTAGTTGCCATTCAGAATGCAACAAGCGACCTATCTAACCACATCCACTGAAAAACGCAGAAGCAACAACAAAGCATCCAATCTCAGATCTATAATGAGCTAAGCATTTTTAACATCCTAGAACATTTTACAAAAATAAACAAGCACATGATACAGAGAACTTAATAAACACATGCCACTCTGCTTCGGCAGATTTATGGTAGGAAAGTACTAACAGAATAAAGGCATGAGCTGTAAATCAATCCACATAACACTCACGGAATCTCTCTGCTGCTGGAGAAACCCTTAGAAATATTAGCAGAGTAAACATTGTTGCATCAAAACCTAAGCACCCACTGTAAAAATCATCACCTGTTTTTAAACATACCATTGGGCAAAGACACGGATAGAGCAAATTGGGACTCAAATCAGTCATTAACCAGCACCTTGAGTTTAATCTATAGGGACACCAGCTCCCACACTGTCAAAGGAGGAGCCAAAGAAAAGATAATCCCTTCTAATTCTAAGAAGCCAGGTTCAACTGGACATTTGCTTAGCAAGCCATCAGCCAATCATCCTACCAGTGCTCCCCAGGCAAGTTCCTAGTAAGACCTAATCCTGATCCCTCCTACCCTCTCTCTACCAGCAACAGATTTTCAACCTAACATACTATTTAGGGATCCTATAACCATTCTTGTTACTGGAATATTTTAACATATTAATGTAAAACCCTTTAGTTTTTAACTATTTAACAAAACTACTTAAGATATTTAACAAAACCCTTAAAAGTCCATACAGTGACATATACCTATTAAATAATGTGCTAAATGTTCTCACACAAATGAATCAAAAATTACATGGGAGAAGTAGACTTAAAGCACCTCTGGGTATCAGGCTGCATTTTATATATGAACAATTTTTTTTTTTGCTAGGCATTTTTCAGTGTAATATTTATATCACCAAATCTCAAAGAAAGAGAACGAGGAGTCTCATCAAACTCAGTATCTACTTTGGGTGTAGGTGTTAGGAAGCCTTTATCACTCATCTTTCCTAACTCCACCACGAAACCAAAAGGGGAGTAGCTAATGATGAAAACATCCTGAACATTAGATTCACGGACTCATTCTAGAGAAATAGAAGATGATGCTGCAGAATGAACTTCATTTGGAGTTCAGTCTTCTCAAATACTAATTCCAGTATCTGTTGCTTCAGCTAACATATGCATGATTATTTCCAATGGTATTTTTAGAAAAGGGAAGAGTGCCATTGTAGCTCGGGTTGCAATTTCAGCCTAGGTCAGTCACTTAGCTATGATGGTAGGGTCCTCCAGGCACACATGGCCATGTTCTCTTCTGAAGACCTCTCTTTAGAAATTCACCAGAATGGTGCACATCGTTAATTCCAGCACTTGGGAAGCAGAGGCAGGCGGATCACCGTGAGTTTGAGGCCAGCCTAGTCTACAGAGCGAGATCCAGGACAGCCAGGGTTACACAGAGAAACCCTGTCTCGAAAAGCCAGAGAGACAGAAAGAGAGAGAGAGAGAGAAAGAAAGAAATTCACCAGCTCCAAGACTAAGCCTGCGATTTCCTTTTGTCACTCTTATTGTGATAACCATCTATGCTCAGTTCATTTCTTATGGTGGCATTAAGCAAATCCATAATGAATGTATACGGTACAAGAGGTGGAGTTCACTGGCTACATGTGACTGTAAAGACTTGCACCAGGTCCTCATCCCCAGCTCACAGAACAGACCTCTAGTCTTTGCCGGAGCTGACTTCCAAAATCTGTGGGACACTGGGTCACATGAAGGTACAGGATTTTGCTACATGGGGTATTTAGAATTCTGAGTAACAACAACAACAACAAAATTGTTCATTCTAGGTCACTCTTCCAATTTTCAAATGCTAATAACCAAGCAACACGTTCTCTGGAGTTGTCTTCACAACATAGTCCCAGAAGTAAGTCACTCTGCTTCATTATTCTATCAGACTGACTAAACTGTTGAAAATTCATTTAAATTACTTTTATTTTCTGGTTATAAATTCACATCTTCTCTATTTCAAGGATGAGAACAACAAGATGGATAGATAGCTGATGGGATAAATGAGTTTTTAAAAGTTTGCTCTCCAACACAAGAAAATGATCATTTAATCACAGAGAACAGGTAATCTGTGGCTATACTTAATCTAGAACTGCTCCTTTCCTAAATTGCTAACTAACATCAAAGCAGAGCTAGAGGCCTGTAATGGAGCAAGGCTGAATGCATGGACTGCTGCGAAGCAGTGGCAGAGTTCATGGGCTTCCCCTTCAGGTACCCAGAAATCCTCAAGAGCCTTGGACAAAAAATACACAGAACAAATACCTATGATTCAGTGTCAATAAAAACAAGCTCTGAGACCCTCTTCACTCCAGAAATGCTTATGCAGAGTAATACAAGTTCAAATGATTGGCAGACTAATATTCATAATTACATTTCACACTAGAATTAGAAGAAAACTTTAAACAAGCACGCCAGTTAATGCTGTATCACAGAGTGACTTAGCAGAGGTGTGGGTGCTGGGCAGTGATGCTGCTCCATACACTGTGGTGACCATTAGTCAGAGTGTTAGCAGGGAGGATGTTTGGTTTCACTCTTGGCAACAACCTAGGGTTTTACTTGCCCTCTACCAAAATTCATTCCAGAAAATGAAATGCAACAATAATAAATCTGTCTCATTTCAAAAATCCCAATGGTAAAACAGGCATCTCAAGAAAAAAAAATGTCCATTTTTAAAAAGTGAACTAATTCTTCAAAATTGGTTATAAACTCCTAATGGGCAATAATTATGGACCTTTTGTTCCAGGCAAGAGATTTCTTATATTTATAATTAACATACATACATAATTTACAATTATTTTCAGCAAACACTTTCTCATTTTTTATAACAGAGCAAACACCATATAATGGTACCATGATTTTATGTAGCCAGCATGCTGAAGTTGTGCACAGTAACAGTGACACTATCATTCCATAAACCAAAGCTGTGGAAGTCCTGCCACTGTGAGTCTGCCTTAGAGAGGGCTCGGGTACTCAGAAGTGGATCTAAGAACAAGCTGGCAGAGTGTGGTGTCTTCTGCAGGACTGCTTTTCCTGGGCACAGCCCTCTACCCCCTGCCCCAAGGGAGAGAGGGCACAAAAACTCTGCTCAGAATGAATAAGGCAGATTTTCAAAGGTTACCAGTGGTCAAACCACTAAGCATTTTTAGCAAATTCTTGCTTCAGATACCAGTTGCTTGAAACCAGGGATCCCCATCAGACCTCCAGTGGTAGCTGCCCATGATGTCTTATTATTATGACACGCTATGCTGAGTACCTGTGAAAGGGGACACTCCTTGGCCAACGAACTCTGATTCATATCTTTCAGTAAGTCCTTCAGAGCATTCCTTACTGTGGTGTGCGACCATTGTTCGGGAGGCAAGTCTTCCAGTTTGGGGCAACTATTTGAGACATAGATTAGAAAGGGGATTATTACAGGATTGCATCCTGCTGCAGAACATTCCTTTAAGACAGACAGATTTCATTTTGCGAATCAAACAGATGCATCTGGAGATTGCTCTCGGTCTCCTGATTGTTCCGATTAGTTAATTACTTTATACAACACATCTGCTGTATCGATGCATGAATTATACATCAGCTGCCTGTGGTGGCTATTTTTTCATGTTACTTCTACCTTCCTGCTCTGATGCGCTTGGGAAGACAATTTAAGGTGTACTGCTTTCTCACGAGCCACCGTGAAAAGCATTAACGTATTAACTGATTTCCTCCCACTACTCTGTTCATACGAATTAAAATGGCAAAAACACAGATATAAGTAAATAAGATCATGGCAAAGCGAATAAGGCATTCTTTTACAAAATGTACACAGATGGCACTGTTCATGATATGCAAAAATATTTTTTTCTTAAGTAAACTTTATGTAAAATGCCTTCTTGTAATGCATCATTTAATTGACTAAAAGTAAAAAGTCTTATCTTTTGATAGCATGCAAAAAATGCAGAAATTTCAAGGGAGGGAGTTGATTTTTAGAGTCCTACATCACGAAGTTGGAGAAAATAACTGAAGGGCTAAAGTTACCAAATTAATTTGGATTAGCAGGTCTCAAATGCTGAGTAAACAAAAACTGCAAGCTGGCTCGAGAAGCTTTATGTCCACCCAGGTAGGGAGAAAATTCTCCTTAGAACTGCTGCCTGCACCCACCTGTGTAACTGGATTTTGAGCGTGACCACATGATACACATCTTGAAGCATATCTGCTACCGTAGCATCAGGGGCATCTGTCACATAGGACAGTGGAACTGGATTCCACTTCCCCACCTGGATGAGCCCTAGTCCAGATAAAGAAGAAGACATGCTCAGTGCTGACTCTCAGACCCAGCAAAAGGTTGCTCTGCTCTTCCACATTGCCCCCACCACAAGCAATATTGTTATTTCTGTTTGAATGATTCCCTTTCCCTCAAAAAGGCAGGTCAATGAAGATATTTGCAGCTTAGCTTTCCAAATTGTGAAATTATGTAAATGACTATAGGAGCTGTTTATTATTTTGGAAATAAATACCCATCAATAAAACCTATGCATCAGGCCACATTGTCCTAACTTACAGGAAGTTCTAATAAGACATAGCTGAACCGGTTCTAAATGGCTTTATGATTTAGATAAGATTCCCTATTGCAGTGGGAATCAACATTGAAAAATACTTTACAGCCCATAAAACCATCAGAAACAGAATAAAAGAAACAGAACTAGATATTCAGTCATAAATGCAAATTGACTCTCAACAGTCCATCTGCTCAAATACGCTCCTCACTTCCTTGTGGGTCCTCAGTGGAGCAGATTATTAAGGTCAATAAGCATACTAATGATTCAGCTGAAGTAATTTAAAAAAAAAATTTACCTCGACATTCCACATGAGCAAAATGTGTGTTAACTAAACCAAACTGAATTAAGCCAATTTTTAAAGCCACAGTCTATAAGGGACCAACATAAGGCACAGGCTGCAGCTCTTTGAATAAAATGTTCTCTGCTTTGTCTGAGAGGCAAACAGGACGACCAGCAACTTCCCAGCCCCACAAGCGCACCATTACCTTTGGCCTGGGCAGCCGAGCTGTGCGAGTAGCCTAGAGACAGCAACGCCATCTCGATCAGCTGGTTGAAAAGCATATCCTTTCTCACCAACACAAATTCTGCGTGTTCCTCCTTGCAATCATACTCAATGGCGTTCTCATAATGTTCCACCACGCAGAAAACTGGGAGCATGGTTCCTATCAAAAGGACAGAGAGAAAGACAGAACACCAACAATCTTCAGAAATAGTCTGGAGGAGGAACACCTAAGCTATGAAAATAAATCTTCACCACAGTGAGAGGAGTCAGAGCCTCCCAGGCAGACTGGGGAGACACAGGCACACAGACAAGCATGCAGTCACTCGCTGTTTGAAAGTTGCAAAGGAAATGCTTTAATTTCCTTCAATTGAACTTGGTCCTATGGTAACACAGGCTCGCCTCTCATTTTAACAGTTCATCCTCCAAAGCAGTGAATGTAGAATTACTTCTCTGACCAAACAATAATGCTGACGAGAGACAAATAACTGTCTGGTCTAATTTGCTGTCAGGACCTTACAGTATGCGACAGAACTGCGCTCGTCTTCATGGGACCCACCTTTGTACTGCATACATGCTTCTGCTAATAACAGATTCCACTTGCTTGTGTCCAAATTATCTGACGATACAATTATTTTCCTGTCCTTTTCATTCCTTCCTCTAACTGGGTCCATAGAAGGAACACAAAACTTAACCAAACCGATGCTCACAGGCACTGTTCCAATGCACACAATGTAGAAAACTTACACTTCTATGACTGCTCACTCCATCTACCTGAGGAGAAAGACCTGACAGCAGCCATAAGTCTTTAACATTAACAATTCCTGCTACATTAAATATGGTAAGAATGGCAGAGAGGGAAAGGAAAACTGGCGTTATTGAGGTTACTGAGATGCATGAGAAGCAGACTCTGCATGGGTCTGATGCTTCTCTGTTGCCTTACTTCCATCCAGTGCAGTAACTCAGTGGCACAGCCCACACCACTGTGGGGAAAGAGGCTTGGTCTAGAAGCCTGGAAGCCGTCTGCGGTGGCACTCAAGGTATTAATGCAGTGCACCGTCAGATTCCCAGCAGTTACAGGAAAGGGTTAAAAACAGATGCATCTGAACGGTACTGTGGCACACTGCCAGGAGGGTATCATCTTTAGCATAAATGATGACAAGGGTTACTTTAACAGGGCACCCAGGATCCCCAATTAGTTCTACAGTATCCCTGCCTGTGTCGGCTCCATACACTGGACTCACACTGGACTCGCAGATCCCTACTAACTTCTGAAGGTTTAAGTGCACATCAATCGCTGCTGAGGATCAGCATTCCCTATTGCCAGAGAGACACTTTACAAATTCTCTATTTGCTTGTTTCTGCTGAACAAAAGCCGGCCATAAAACAGCTACATCTTTCCACATGTGTGTCTTCACCAAAGCTTTGTGAACTGTTCACAAGAGATTCCAGCTCTGACAATTAAACCCCTTTAGGTTTACTTAGAAAAGCTCACAAACTCATTCGGAAGTACCAGCAGGCTAGGCATGAAAAACAAGCCGCAGAGCTTGCCAATATTCTTGTCATTCATTCAGCTGTTTTATACCAGCGAGAGAACCCGTCAGGGATCAGAAGAGAACTTGGGGAGACCGCAGCAAAAATAGCAATATGCAAACTGGTGATTTCTTCCTTGGCTTGAAGGTATTTTGGCAAAATCTCTTAAACAAATAAAAACACCCAAGCCCTTTTTTCAGTGCTTTCTCAGCTTAGCCACAATTTTTATCTAGCACCTGTCAAACAGAAACCATGCACATGAAAAATAAGATTTAAAGAAAGGAAAAAAAAACTACTGAAAGGCTTACAATTTTTTGCTTTTTGTATCAAGCACAGAACCTTCTATAATTAAGCTGCATTTTTAAGATATGGGATTTTTAATATAATACATTTTTTAAAGCATTTGAGCAGGAATGAGATGACCATGTTCTGGCTCCTTCTTCCTGCCTACTGGTGTCTGTGGAGTTGGGGTAGCAAGCCAAAAACATGTATATTGGTTTCTCTTCTCATGGACTCAAAACAGAGGTGTCAAACAGGGAGCAGCTTTTCAGACCTCAGCGCTATGAAATAACTGAAACCTTTCAAACCACTGAAACAGTCTGGATTGACTCTGTGTTTTATTGATCAAATTTAAAGGTGCCTTATAGATAATAAAGGTGGCTACGGATACGGTAGCAACAGGATCATCTAATTACAAACCCAGTGCTAGATCGTCTCAAGAACTGTCACGGCTGCCCTCCTGTTAGGGGGGTAATGTTAAACAGGAGCCTTCGCTGGACTGCCTGATTATTCGAGCTCGTGTTTGGCCAGACTTCCAACTACAGCAACTCCATAGCCTTCCTGCATTAGAAAGGGAGAGTACTGGTCACTGCTGAAAGCTAAAAATACCACATGATTTAAACCTGAAGGCAGTCTGAGAGGCCTTTGCTGGAGGTTTATGAGCCTGTGTAAACAGCACGGCTGCCATAAGGAGCAGTGGAGTCTGTAGAATCCTTGTCTAAAACTGTCCTGGCATTAAAGTTTGCTGTGCAAATATCACATAATACCAGAGACAGCTGAAATCTCCTATTTAGGAATTTATGGAACTTGTGTGTTTGCAGGCGTCAGGAAGCCTTTTTTATAGAGCCTCAGCGCTACACGGTACAATATTAATGCACTCTGTTTGAAAAGCCATAATAAATTATATTTTTAATGCTCTTACCCTGGCTTAAAGATGCATACATTCTTGGCAAACAATCAATAAATAGGGTAATCATGAGTAGAGGCCAAAGAATTTGCTGAAGTGCTGTTTTTTCCATTTTTAATAGATAAAGATCTAACAATACGGACTGCTGTGTCTGTTTATTTCAGGATCAATATATTCTTTGTTTTCGCCAAACCAAGGAAAAAAATAAATGATTGTATGATAAATGTTATGCATCAAACACAATGAAATTCCTCAGCCCCTAACTTTCTCTACTTAATATTCGTGGTTGGTAAAAGATGGTATTTTATTCTTTGCTTAGCAAAAGCACAAAAAGTCTGACTACCCTTATGTGTTATTCAATGACAAATAAAGACCCCAGTAAGGCACAAAGGACACCCCACAAAGGAATCGCCCTGTTGGGACAACAGTGTCCAACACAGGCAAAGTTGCTAAAATTGCATCAATTTAATTTTGGTAGAAAACCACTTGTTTATATTTTTTTCCCTTTATAAACTTGCCTAAATTTTCCTTTCCTTTACCAAAAATACTCAAGTATAGCAAAAATTAACAACTAGAATCAGCAAGTTTTTCCACTGTTAAATAATTACTTTGCTCTTCAGAAAATAAACCACAATAAATTACATCACAAATGTTTGATCTCATGTCAGATCCATGTCCTGAAATCCCCTTACAGTTAGTAACCTCGGGAAAAAAAAAACCTATGGTAATTCTCAAGCAACCTCAGTGTCTTACTCTTCATCAGGGTAAGTTCAAGCAGCAGCCACCTGCACATCTGTAACTGCAGCAGTATCTACAAATGGATCTTGTGTAAATGAAGACTATCCAAATGTTCTAATGCTTCCAGTCTTGGGTAGAGAGAAGCATCACTCAAAAAACAGCACTCACGCTTTCAAAACATGATTGACACCACAGCCCAGAACGCCACTTAATTTCACATCAGAAAGAGATCTAGAAAAAGAATATACACAGCATGTTCCAGCCCTACAACTCCACACAGGGTGGCCTTGGGCAGACACCAAGCAGCTTTCCAGGATCTGGCTGGCAAGTATTTACCTTTCCTAAGGTTGGTTTTCATCAGATGGCCCGAGTGTTTTAAAGGCACTCCCTGCATCTTTGCACCTGTGCTTCCAAGCCTTCCTCTTCCTAGTGGGCTCCCGTTCTGCTCCAGGCGGGCAATCTTGGCTGGTGGACCCTTCGGATCACTCACATTGTTAGACATTTCTGAATGCTCTTTCCCCTGAGTTGCCTCGTTCAAATGATCCATACTCAGTCACTGTCTTACAGATCACCTGCCAGAACTGGAAAAGAAGACGTTATCAGTGGGTGGAGGGCTGTAGTTATGCCTGCCCCATACACGTCTCATCCCTAGACATTTCCCTCCACAAAACACATTTGTGCAACTACGTAATGATCTATAGACTGTGTGCTTCTATGTGAATTAACAGAATATTGTGGAACCTGTACCAACATACATGAATAAAAAAGTAATTTCTCAGCTAAAACTCTGAGGAAAATGGGCTTACTTTCAGAACAAGAATACCACAAGGTAAAAAGAAAATAACAAATTAAACTCATGCATTCTCAATTTTTAAAAATTAAAAATTAATGACAGACTATGACTGCAATACTTCTAATGAAGGATGGAAAGATTATCGGTGTAAAGCATCAAGTTTACTAGGAGCTCACACTCTAACATACATTGCAATCTATGTTACAAATGAAAACCTCAGCAGAACACCACAAACACCCAACGCTTTTTAACTTGCCACTTGCTTTATGAGCTAAGGCAGCAAGAAGTTTCCCCCCTCCCTATTTAGCTAAGTTTCAAGAGTTCCGTGCTGTTAAAGATCTCAAGCTCTGGACAAATATGTGACTGGATCATTTCACCTCTAAGCACACAGGAAGGAGTGAAGGGCTCCTTTAAACGTCTTATGTCTTTTAGCAGGACAACTTGTCTTTTGGAGTTAATATGTTGGTGTCCATTGCTAACAGGATGCTGTTAATTTAAATAGCAAAAAAAAAAAAATCTGAAAATATTTTGTGATTTGTGATCCAAAAAGTGGATGTGTGAAGCTCAATTTAAAAAATAATCCTAATAGTATTGACAAAACACAACCTCCATTATTAAAAAATAATCAGGATGCAAGGAAGTTAGCATCATAATTTCAGAAAAATGTGAATTTTTAGTTTTATTAAATATTAGACTTCAATTTTGAATGCGGTTTATAATAAAGCAACTGGTACAATATACCAAAGTTACTTCTAAATTATATTTTTAAATAGGCTAGTTAAACAGAACAAGTAAGCAGAATTACGTTATGATCTTTCATTAACCTGGAAATATTGGGGATATTTAGGAAAGCCAGAGGTAATATGACAGCACTTTTTCCAGCTGTCTAGTATTTTGAAATATCTTATATACTTTAAAAAATAATTATTATACTCAAACTCTATGGACCTGGATCAACTGAGAGACAGTTTGTGTTAGCACGGCTTTTCTATAAACAGTTTTCTCTCATTAAGTCCGTCCTACTTCATCCTATAGAATCAAGAAACGGGGACAGGCATGCGATCTGGGGGCTTAAAGCAGCATTAAGAATGACAAACCAAGAACTACAAAGTTTGAGAAATAATAATAATAGTTATTAATCTTTGTACTCGAGGGCGGCACGCTGAGAACTAAAGGTTTACCCTTGATCCAGGTCCATCTGTTTTTGTTATGAGGTTCATTAACAATAAATGCATCTCTTTAAATCACTTTTTATCAAGATCACTCCTTTCCATTCTCTTAAGCAGCAGTCTAAAGCCAAAATTAGAGTGATGATTATTAAGTTATTCAAAACATTCTTTACATTTCATGTGGATCATAATGCAAGGCTGATTTCTCTGAAATTGGTTGCCTTACCCTAGAGCAGAAGATGAATTTCAAAACATATGAATTGAACAGAAAAAATTTAACCCTTGGGGCAACTTATGAGAAAAAAGGGGGAGGGGAATTCACAACAGCATCAAAGTTAATACTACAGAACATATTAGGCGGTCACGAGGTCAGCAGCACTATGAGCTGTATGTACAGCAAAAGAAAGGGGTGGAGTTCGATTTAGTTAATGTACTGACAGTCAAAATATCACATAGGTCATGAAAACTGTTTTTTGAATAACCATCTACTAGACACTAAGTCATTCTCTAAAAGGTTTGCATTATAAAGCAAAATTACATGCACATAAAACACCCAATTTAATACTCCTTTAAAGTCTATGCCAAGGCGAAAGTTCATCAAACCTCAAGTTGGAGCTGAATCCAGCCACTGCCAACAGGCCTGCCTGGACTCACAACAGCGACTAATGTGATCACAACCAATGCCCATCTCAAGAGTTTGAGTAACATATTTTAAAAGCCATTTTAGAGCAATGTATGGATGGCACACAGAAAGCAGGCTACTTTCCGCAAGTCCCATTTCCCTGTCCATAAACTAAGACCACAGAGGATCCTTTCTGGGGTGAACTCCATCTCAGTAATTATTTCCCTTAAAAAGCAGGAAATAAAATCAAGAAATCCTGGTTTAAAAAAAGTATATATTTTTTTCCTTTTTTTTTTTTGCATCGTGGGATCCCTTTTCAAAGAGTTCCTCTTAAGGTCGTTTTCTTCCCGACAGAACCCCAGAAGCACATTTTAAGAACCCGTGCCCTTATCCATTCCATATGGCCGGCCCGATCCAGGCCAAGCTTTCGCTGTGACCTTTTAAAGAGACAAAGAAACAAACTACTATCTAGCAACAGCAAAGCTGCAGTTTTACTGAGTGAAATTAGCAAAACCAACCTGAAACTCACCACTTCAAAACTTGACAGCATATAAATAACAAAACAAAGGAGATTTCCTTTGCAGCCCGGGTTCTTGAAGTGAAGTTCAAGACTGGTGTTTTCTATGTCCTTTTATTATTATTATTATTAAAAAAAAAAAAAAAAAAGCAGCAGACCTGAAGGCGACTTCCCCTGAAATTGTATTATTTTCTCTTTCCTTACCCCCGCCCCGCTAGGCGGGGGGAAGGGCAAAAATAAACAGCTAGAAGAGTAGATATTGGGGGGCGGGGGGGGGGCTTTAAAAAGTCACAATTCGAAAAAACAGCATAGCTAGCTTGTAAAATGTCTAACCTCAGAGAACAGGGTTTGGAAGGGGAGGAGGGGAGAGTGGGAAGTAGGGAGGAGGGAGAAGGTAAAATTGATCTGACAAGTGATTCGGTGGGGGTGGGGGGAGTCGTAAAAACAAAGCGGAACCCGTTAGGAGCTGTACACTGGTGGTACTGGGGAGGAAAAAAATCACTGCGGACAAGGACCCCAGGAATGGTTGGGAGAGGGGGGAAAAAAAGGTACCCTCGCCCCCTCCTCCTGCTGAGCTCCTGGGAGAGCGCTTAAAGTCCGCTTGGTGTCACCCTGCCAGGCTCGTCCGAGACCCCGGAGCGCCAGGGAAAGGCCACCTCGCTTTCTTCCCAGCCGCCCCCTCCCCCTCCTCAACAATCGCGACTGCGATTAACAATCCTTAAACTTTTTCCCTACCGCCTCGCACCCCCACCGAAGGTATCTAGCAGGGGCCTGAGAGGGTGAGGGGCAGCGGGTCGCGCCAAGAGCCCCGGGAAGGCACTAGGAGGCCACTTGGGAGGCCGGCGTCGCCGACAACAGCCCCGGGGACCCTCTCCCTGCCCATGGACGCTGGGACCCGGAGCGCCCGGGAGCACCGACGGGGAGGGAAGAGCAGGGGGGAGGGGGAGATCCGAGGGCAACCCCGCCGCCGCCTCGGCGGCCACTCGCTCCCCGCCCCCTCCCCCCAAAAGTCGCCAAGCTCTCACTCAGCCCGAGTCGGAGGTAAACAAGGAGCTCGACAATGGCAGTGGGACTTGGGGACGCAGCCACCGCCCGGAGGCCCCCCAAAACTGATGCGGAGTTGCGCGGAGGGCGGTGGGTGCCCGGCTGCAGGCGGGGTCCCCACGCGGGCGGCGAGGCCGGTGTCGCCGGCGGCCCGGGAGAGGCGCGCGGGGGTCTGCGCGCGCTTGTGAGCGCAGCTCCCCGGACGGCTGCCCGTCGCTCGCTCGCTCGCTCGTGTCCCCTCGCGGCCGCTCTGCCCCCATTAAACCAGGAGTTGACTCATCCCGGCCGCGGTGGCCGCTGCCGCGTCGCGCTGGGCTCCGCGCGTCCTCCCGGGCTGCAGCCCTCGCCGCCGCCGCTGCTGCCGCCGCCGCCGCTGTGGCTGCCGCTTCTTCCTCCTCCTCATTTTAATGCGAGGCACCGGCTGGCAGCGCAGCCTCCTCCCGGCCGCCCGCAGCCTGCTACCCCGGCGGGGCCGCCGCGTCCCGGGCGCGGGAGGGGGAGGGCGGGCGGCGGGGGCAGGGTGCGGGAGGGCCGGGAGGGACCGGGCTCAAAACCCGGGCTGGAGGGCCGGGATCGGGGGAGGGGCGGGGGCGGCGGCGGCGGCCCGGGAAGAGCTGAGTGGGGCGCGCGCTGGCGGCCGGGCGCGCGAGCATCCGTAATGAGCCGCGAGCGAGAGAGGCGGGCGGCCGGCCGAGTGTACACAATGCCCGGCGGCCGGGGGCGCGGGGAGGACGCGGGGGCGCCCCGGGCAGGTGCGTGCGGGCAGTGCGGAGGAGGGGCGGCCCGGGGACCCTAGGCGGCCCGGAGGGACGGGGGGCGGGGGCGTGCAGGTGGCACTTGAGGTGGGCACGCAGCCGGATGTGGCTGGAGTGAAGAGCCCCAAGGAGTGCCTGGGTGATAGGGCAAGAAAGGCGAGAAAGCCTGGAGACGCTCTCCCCAATACTTATTCTCAAAGGAATGTGGTCTCTAAACTGCCAAGAGTGACATCCACTAACAACTGAGTCAGGGCTTTCGGAGCAAGTCAGAGCCACAGATAGTCAGATACTTTGGACTTCTGAAACACGCGGCCCGTAGTGCTGGAGTTAAACTAAATTTGGGTCACTGGAAACACACCTGACTTGCTATTACAAAGGAAAAGATGTCATCATTCTTAAAATACTTCCCATCGGGCGAATATTGGAAAGTTTGGGTTGGTGAATGCATCTGTTGTAGCAATACTTTTGTGATCAGGAGAAACTAAATACAGTCCACATAAAAATGAACACCGTAACATCTCACCCAAAATACAAAATGCATTATTTAATCACTAAGGTCTTTAGTTCACCAAAAAGCAGTTCGTCAAGCAAGAGCCAAATGTTATATTTTGAAGAACTATTTTGAAGAATGCAGTAGTAGGGAAAAGATGTAGGTCTGAAAAACATTGTGTGATACAGTTTTTAAAAAAGCAACAAGTTAGGACAACCACAGAGATAAGGACGAGATATGCAAATGAAGCTCTTTAAAGCGACCAATACGCTCTAAGGCACACTGTTTACACTAGAAATCTAAAAAAAGCAGAAGGTACAGGAAATTATGGCCTCCTGGGGAAGGATGAATTTAGGAGAAGCACAAAGAAAATAGATTGCTCCAAGAGCGCCCAGGTTTCACCCACAGACCGGAAAGGTTAGTTAAAATCAAGGAAGGCAGCTGTGAATGGTGGTACCAAAGCCTTGAGCAAAAAACATGTGATAGTGAGACAGAAACATGCCATCCAAAACAAGGGAAGAAGTTTAAACAGCTTTCACCACAAAGGCTAAGAGTACTTTTTTAAAAAGTTGAAATGTGTGGGAAATGTGGTGGCTATTTACAGTATAATAATCAATAAGGAAAATACAAATACAGCCAAATATAGCACTTGTGTGGGAGTCTATATTGTGACTGGAGGCTAAACTTATTTTGAAAGATATTTGATATTTAAAAGAACAAACATGATTAACTTGATAAGAACAATGATGTTTTTCAATAGGATGCATTAAAATTTCAGTCTCCAATGTGGATATCTGAATAGCCCTTCAAATTGGTAATGCCTGACATGTTTCCCTGAAACCTAACCTTTCTTAGTTGGTACAGTGTGTTCTAGTGTCATGTTGGATGAATTAACAAACAATAATAAAAAGAGAGAGAGAGAAATTATACTGGCCTACAAAGGCAACAAAAATGTCACTGGTTCATCCAACTCTACTTCAATTGAATTCTTAGAAAAAGACAGAAGGAGCAGACTAGCCAGCGGCTGGTCAGGACAAACTTGGAGCTAAGAGACAAGAACGCTAAAAACAAAAGAGTTTTCTAAGATTACAACACGGGAATGAAAATAATGTAAATGTTCCTCCAATAATTTTACACAAATAAATACGACAAAATGCCTGACTGCCTCCGTCTCATGATGACCTGATCAATGCTAATGTAACCTGGGAAATTTTAATCTGAACAGCACCTTTCATTCAGGAATCACTATCTGTTCATAAACAAGAAACATAAAAGTATATAATAAGGACTGATATGGCCTTGAGAAAATGATTGAATAAATGAGCATAATGGCATCTGATAATGACTTTATTATAAAGAGTAGCAATAGAGTAAAATCATCAATCAGTTAATCACACACATTTCCCTAAAGCACATTTTTTTTAATCCCAAAACTGTATGTTTTAAAAAATAGAATGGGTAAAATGGCACACAGCTGATACCTAGTGATATGCCATAGTGATGGGCTTTATTACTATATATGCTCATGAGAGTGTGTATATGTGTGTGATCTTCCTCTTTAGTACACTCACTATAGCCACTAAGTATTGGCCAGTAAAACTCAATCAAAATAATACGAAAGAATAAAGATAATTATATCACCTTCCAAGATCTATTTGAGCATGAGTTACCATGTTGGGGGTGGAGGGAACATTACCTGAATCTACAGGAACAGCTTATTTTTAGCCCTTAAGATGCAAGCAAGTATGGAAAAAAGTTAAAACAAAATAAAATTTATAGATCTTGCTATCAAACTGGAGAATTTCAGCAGCCTCCGTCCTGTAGCACCAGTGCATGGATGCAGTCAGAACAGAGTGCATCCATCTTCTCTCCTGTGAAAAGGGCATCGAGACAGACTACACATGGGAAGTGACCGTGAGATATACCAAATACACAAGACTGTTAAAAATGTAACAAAAGGACTGCTGCATGTTCCAGATGTTAGCCAAAGGCATTAAAAAAATATTTAGAGTTCTGAATAGTGTGCATAAACAGAGAAAGCATTTAGAACCTGAATGCTTTCAGATACTACAGCTCCTCTGGTGACTGTGGTGATGCAGCAGTCACCATCAGAATGCTTTCTACAGGCATGGTTTGGATTTGATCGTTTTTAATTCAAATACAGTTGGCTGTCTCCACTCAAAACAGCTCTATCTATGTAGCACATGGCTTTTTGTCAACTCTTTGTTTTTGGTTTTAGCTGCAGGTGTTGTTTTCTATATATGAGTTTCTGGGACTATGGTCCGTGTTGGCCATATAAGGATGTCTATTCAAGCCATATGTTTTGCTGTCATGTGTCTCATTTTGTCTGTCTGGGATGTCAGTACTGATTTCCACATAGTTTCTTGAATGGACAAACACCAATTTGCTAGAACAGAGAGGAAACACTGGAGTTGCAGCCCAAACAACTTCAACAAAACATATTTTGGTGAGGAAATGCAATATCCTGTAAACATTTGCAGCCTCTTGTCTCATATTATCTATGACCAACATCATGACAACTGCTTACAGTTTGAGAAAAAGTTTGCATTCTGTGTCTGCATGTAGTTTTATAAGCTACAGCCCACATTTTGGAGGTCATGGAAGGGCATATGCTAACTGACCTACTCTGATATCTGTGGGTTCTGTAGCCAACTTGACCCAGCCTTGAACTTGGGGAAGTTCAAGTGCACCACCTCATAATTTTCTCTTACCAAAGTCCCCGACTAATCCTACTAGAAGTTATGGGCCCTTGTATATATTCTTGTAGCAATCTGTATTTCTCCTTTATAACAATCATCGAATTCTTACTCAGCTAACCATTTGAGTGATTATTAGTCAAGCAAACATCTCTCTTATCAGGCTGTAAGCCCTATGAGTGCAGAAGTATCGCTAATTGCCATAGATCAAGAACTGAATGCAGTATTCCTGCAATATTTGCATTTTGACTGCATATAGAGGAGCAAAGAGCCCTCTGTGCCATTTGTAACCAATCTTCACCATTAACTGCACAACAGTACTTACGTATTGCAGAAGTGCGAAAGCGGAATACTGCAAAAGGTTTTTATATCACTCAATTTTCAATTAATTAAAATTACATAAAATTTACAAGTTTGTTCTTCCCACCCACTTCAAGTGTTACATAGCCACATGGCTAGTGGCTCTCACAATTGCAGTGTAGACTGTAGAACACTTACTTCCCCCCTGCAGAAAGGCAACTGGGCAGCACTGACCTGAAGAACTGTAAAAGATGACTAAGGGAACCCAGGATCTGCTCCGAAGGAGTCTTACAGGTGCTGACTGGCTTTCAGACATTCTAATGATGTCTAAATGGAGATCATTTTCCATTTTAAAATTAGCCCAAAGATCTGTAATGTTACATGGAATGAGACTAGTGTACCACTGAATACAAATTTAAGGTAACTTTCCAGACATGTCTGCACTTGAGAGGGTCCTGCAATATATCTGCAACAATATGCAGTCATTATAAATGCTACTTGCTGTGAGTGCTTCAATACCATATACGAAAAGGTATAAACCACAGTCACTGCATCCCTCTCTCAGCTTCCTCGTGATGCTAACACAAACCCCTTAGCTGTGGATCTTTGTACAGCTCTAACTGTAGATACCTACTCAAACTGGGAGAGTATCCAGCTATCAAAACCTGGTACACTGTAGAAAAAAATGTCAGAGGCTGGAAAAGGTTGCAGGAGAGAGCAAAATATAATGATGGTGAACTTCAAACCCAGATTTCAAGGGTTTGGGGTTTTACCCCCACCTCAAGTAAGTTGGGTTCAGTTATAACCAGACTGATAGTTACCAAAATTATGTCCCCTAATTCCTCTGAGGTTGGATGTAAATGCTCAAAGATAACTTGTGATGTTCTCGACAGACAGGTCATTATCACTGCGGTGTTAGCAGTCACAGCTGGCAAGGCGGCTGGGCCTTTACATCGCCAAAATGGACTTTTACTAGCAAGGATTTATTGAACAAAAGTTTTCAAAACTACCTTTCCTTCCACAGATGTTAATATGAATCTTTCTTTTACAAGGTATAGTGGAAATAATTTCATCAAAATTGGTATTTCTGTCTAGACCCATATCTAAGATTGAGTAGAGATCAGGAAAGATTCCTGCAGTCGCCACCGAGTCCACTTAGCGTAGGACCACCAATGTACCCGTGTTTCCAGACACCTGGTTTTATAGTATGGCTCCTGAAATGAATGAACATCATGCTCATTTCTCCTGGGATTCTTTAACATACAGCTTAGTTTAACCTTGTTGTCCAAAGCCTGGTATACTGCAGGAAAAGCGCGGCAGAGGCTATACAGATGTGGCTTATTCTCTCCTTCCTCTAAGTCCCATCTACTACCCATCCTTCCAGCTGGGTAGCGTTCAGTGTGCTATACTGGTCCTCCGAACTGCAAGGCTCCAAGCATCTTAACATTTCTTACATGTGTGTATATCCCTGGATTCTTTCACTGTGCCTACCACCATGGGAAGAAATCCCTGAATTGTTTGCAAAAGAGAGTGCTTAAGGATCTTAGGAAGGAAAGGCGGGTATGGGGTTCACAGCCCACTGCAACTGAATGGAATGGTTGAAAGTATGTGAGTCGGGCAGTGTTTTAAGATTCCCACGATGTCTCTGCTAAATGATCAAGTCTGGTATCCACTAACTTAGGCAATATTTTGGAGACGGACTCAAACAGGCCCACTAGGACACTCCTGAACTGCAGTTTTTAACCTAATCCTGGGGACACTTAGAAAGACAGGGTTCTCGCAGGTACCAGCAGTGAGTGCTTCAAAACTCAAGTAGATGTGCAGGCATTTGTTTCAAACAGACAGATAAGGGGGGTGGGAACAGGATATTAGATCACCGAGTTGGTAAAACAGGGTCTGCTGTCCGAGGAACCGTGATAAATTAGCATTTGGGCACTTGCTTGAGATTTCCTGGGGTGCCAGAAATCCTATGCAGGTATGTGATTTATCATCACAGACATAAGCGACTAACCACAAAATTACATATGGAAGCTCAGGTCTACAGCAAGTCTATTATTTACTGGAGCCAGAACTATCCAAGTTTCCTCTAAATCTTTTTTTTTTTTTTCAACACATTGAATGTGATTTTTTTTTCCTCCCCTCAAAACCACTATTTAACCTTGAGTGGGCTTTTCAAACAATTGAAAACTTTTCTTTTTTTTTCTTTTCCAGACTGTCCCTGAATTTTAGCAGAACTGAAGTTTTCATGCTGTGCATGCCCTGGATGCCCTGAAGCTGAGGAACACTTCAACCTTGAATGGGAACAAGGATTCTTGGGCATCCAGGAGACTCGAATTCCAATGAATTCCAACAGTAACTCTTCCCTTCCGTTAGTCAGGTCAGACAAGCAGAGTTCCTTAGAGATGTGGATATTATCGTTAATGTTTTCTGGTTTAGTTGCAGGGATGAAGAGCTTGATACCACGACAGGCCCCAATCCTAGTCCCAGTAATGTCCTTGGGGACATTAGCCAAAAGCAGTGTCTGGTGCTGCACAAGCCAACAAAGGCCCCAGGACACCAGCAGGGGACGGTCCACTGCAAAGGAAAGCCACAACCTGAGACAAACCCTTCTCACTGGGAAAATGATTAGACTCCATTTTAATGCTTAAAATTTGATCAAGCAAAAGGGGAGGTTAATTCAAAAGAAAAGTGATATGTGGCTGATGGAAGGATTCAGAAGAGGTGGTGATGATGGCTGTTCACAACGTGAATATAATCAATGTCACTGAACTGTATCCTTAATGTTATCAAAATGGCATATTTTAGGTTATATATTTACCACAGGGAACAAGTTTTAAAACAAAAACAAAAACAAAAAACAGTCAGCTATTCCTGAGAGCAGCAGAAATATATTGTCATTAACACATCATGACAGCTTCAGAGAAACAATGAACTCCATGACACTGAACAGTCACCCTGCACCAACACCCCAGGGCTGTGTTAACAGTCACAGTCCAGTCTGCTGGAGAAGTCATTCATAGGGTGACTGTCTGACCCCAGGATAATTAACCTGGTCTCGTGATCACCAACCAGTATCTCACCCATTTTGAAGATCCTCCAATGCCAGAGGATACTTCTCTCTTAACGTTTTACTCAACACAGTATCTGAGCAAAGGAGGAAGAGATAAAGACTGAATGAAACAAAGGAGCACAGTCAGTCCAAAGAGTGTATCTTTTTCAAAAGCCTAACAATTAAACTCACAAAGCAGTACATCTTCTCTTGTCCAAGTAGGAAAGTATCATTGTGAGGATAGTATAATGTACTGTACATAATAATCTATAAATGGTTTGTATTTGGATACTTTAGACTCTATTTATGTAAAACAAAGTTCTTAAATATAAATTTAATTAGTTTCAAATTTAGTCAGTTCTGATAGGGATCAGGATCAAAGTAGTTAACTTCTTATCCAACAATTATAAACATTCTTTCCTATGCTATGCTGTCCTGGATAGAGTATTATATCATCTATTTCTGATGATTTTATATTAGGGATTTTTACACTAATGGTGAAATTTTTAATGAACTGGAAATTAATTTATAAATTATATTTTATTCAAGTTCATATTTAAAAAGATATATTTTTCTGATATGCATGACTAAGGAATACTATGTAGTGAATCTAAATTAAAGATATATTTATTATGTGTAAAAGCATTAATTATTATAAATAGCTTTACAATATATCTATAGAAGATCTAGTTACCTGTCTTAAAGGTGCCTAGTTATTAACATGTTTATTGTGAAACTTAATTTATTATATAACTAGCATGGACTATAAACATACATGTATGTATATTATAGCTGATAAGCAAAATGTGTATAAATAATACTATACTATAACTTTAAACAAAGAACTAGAGGGGCTGAAGGGATGGCTCAGTGGTTAAGAGCACTGGCTGCTCTTCCAGACCTGGGTTCAATTCCCAGCACCCACATGGCAGTTCACACTTGTTTGTAGCTCCAGTTCCAGGGGGTCTGACACACTCACACAGAAATACATGCAGGCAAAACACCAATGTACATAAAATAAAAAGAAATCATTAAAAATTTTAAAAAAAGAACTAGAGAGCCTTGAGGCTATTTTTTAATCATTTATTTTATTTACTTTTTAAAGGATTTTTCATTTGTATTATACATACACACACACACACACACACACACACACACACATACACACACACACACACACACACACACACACACACACACACACATTATACACGCACACACTCATAGCTGTCTGGAAACTAGGCTGCTGGAAGGTTGGTCAGTGCCAGCTGTTTTCCTATTCCTTCTACAGTGAAGCTATGCTCCGTATTCATGGTACATTTTATGAAAATGAAACTTCTTATCTCTCCTTGGAGGTAATTAAGGCCCTTGAGACCAAGTCTTGAATTCACTTTGTACAAAGGGAATTTATCACTAAAAATTTACAAAGCTTCAAAATAAGTGTAAATGTGTCTTTGAGGCTGGCAAGAGCCACAATTTAGGATATAAAAACAACTCTTGTGGTATTCTTAATGGATTGGAAAAGCTCAATGGTCTGGCCAATATCCAAGTATGTGTAAACATCTATGTGTATATGTATACACACACATATATAATGTACACATGGCATAACATGATAAATAGACAGTTAACACTTTTGTAACATGCAAGAGTTGGTTACTCAATTAAAAAGCGGGAGACCATTGTTTTCATCAGACACCCTTTAAAACCCACAGTTGGTTAATGTAACATCCTATTATTAAGCAACTCTCACAGAAAGGGTATATGACACAGTAGAAAACAAGAAGGAAGAAAAAGTAGGGAAACCAGGTATGGGCCTTCCTTCCCATTTCACTATCCAGCTGAGTGACCACTAGCTAAGCATGATTCCACAGCTGTAAAATGAAGGGACAGAAGTAGATGTTCAGGGCCACATCAAGGTGTCTCTGCCTTTACTTTTAATGTAAAAACTAAGTTCACTTTAAAAGGGAAATAAAGACACAGGAAATTTCTCACATGCTATATTAGATGTTTATCTATATATAAGAGACAGGTGTCAAACAAATTAAAAAAAAAAACCACTAAGGCAAAGAGAAACTTTAACTCACCAGATTCCATCTGTTACATTTGAATTCATGCATAATTGATTATCCATGACTGGTAAGTTCTTTTCTCAGTAGCCGACCAGTTTTCTAAACATTATGTATTAAATCACTACTAAAGTAGAAGGCATTTCAGAAACAGAAAGGCAGAATAAGAATATTTTAAATGAAAAATTACATGCTGGTTAATAATAATACAGCTGACCTATGTTTAAGGGAGAGAAATTTTAATCATGTGCATATTAAATATTAATAACCTATTCTGTTATTGTTATAATAAGGTTAAGTAGGCTTCACCATGCTTAAGGAAAGCAAGAGAAAGAGAAACACATAATAGTACAAAAGCTACAGAGACGGGACAGACCTAAGGAAAATGTGTCAATAATAAACAAGAGGAAATGAGAAAGAAGGAGAGGATGAAGGTGGAAGCTAATCTCTGTGTGTCATTATGACTGCCAGATACTGGCAAAGAAGCAGCATCCTTTTATTTCAATTTTAATCATTTCTGAATTTTAATACCCAGCTCCTTTTGTAATTCTCCTGGCATTCCCCATATGCCTCCATCCCAGCCAAAACACCAGTGTAAATTAAATGGCAGGCAACCACATCACTGATGTAGCCTTCCCAAAGACCCTACCAGGTGACCAAACGCAAAAGAAGGTAAGCCTACCTTACATCCCTCAGGACCTCCAAACAATTAACTGTCTCAGTGTCTGCTACTTTCTTCAATTTTGAAAAGGACAGTGGTTAGGGATGCTACAGAGAGAATCGTTTAAAAAAAAAATCAAGCAAGCCAGTGGTAATACAATAATCAGTGACCATCAGGGCCTGGAAAAATGAGTTTGCTCTCACTGGCACTAAGGAGCATCACATGATTATTTAATTACAGCTCTAATTTTTGTCTCGTGGATGGCAACATATCAACAATTAATAGGGCAGATAGAGGAGAGTGTGTTTTAAAGAGACAGAATGTGTGTGATAACACTATAGGTCACACAGCAGTTTACCACTTAAAGAATATTTTCTTGTGTGTAACTTAATAGGAATGCCTTGCAAATAGTCCCACACATGCTTTCAAAATATAATAAAATTTTTGAAAGAAGTGTCCTTTTTCGATAATATTCAAAGCATGCCCGTAACCTTTCCAAAAGTTAACGTCCAGCTAATGAGCCTTCTAGTTGACTCTGGGTTAAGTTTTAAGGAATAGAAGGAAATTCTCTCATATAAATACCCGAATCCTATTGTTGGTAAATGAGGTACATAACTACAGTTCTTTGTCTTCATGCATTCATCATGGCTGACATCTACTTAATGGGGTCCTGAGAAAATATCACTGTAGTTGGAAAGAGGCGGTGGAGACAAGTAAGCCTCGTGCCACTCATCCACACTATGCTGGGCTCTGGAATATCAGCTAGACCCAACATGGTGGCCCAGCAGCAAATTCAGGGCAGTGCTTTGGGTTGATTCTGGTGAAATTTGTTATCACAGCCTAACATCAAGGGACCGTGAACCTAAACAGAGACTTAACATAATCCTAAAGGAAAGATGGGAAGGATAAAACAGAAACTCTAGTACTTCTGTCCAAAACACAACAGAATACATACTTAAAGAAGAACAACATTCCATAATCTACAAAACTGGGATCATGGGAGGACTAGATGCTCATATAACCTCAACAATAGCACAATAGAACGAAACGTCTCTTTACTCCATGAATCTTTATCAACATGAATTATATTTAATATTTACCCAATTATTAATTTTGCTTTCCTTAAATGAGTGCTTATTATATGTAAGACAGAGAACACTAACTGTTCAGTCTCTCCTATTTTATCTGTTACAGAAAGGTAGCTTAACTTAATTCCTTTTTGTAGTTTAATACCTTGTATGATAACAAATAACTACAGTATATACAAACTTGTCAAAGTAGAAATGCTCCTAATTTTTAAATGCTATATTAGGAAGTTACAAAATCTACAAATTCATCAAGGGAATTGTTAACCAATCCATGGGAAATGTTTAGATATTAAAACTCTGTGGTTTCTGTCACTTAACTGCTGTGACAGAAGCCATAGCTTGAACCTAGATTTGAGATTTAGACAATAAAATCATCACTGTGGTCAGCTGTTCAAATGTATTTTAAATATTGGGTTACATGGAATTGAGAATAATATAAAGGGCATTGACTATAATGATTCCACAAAAATATTTATCAGGCTAAATCAACTCAATAAGCAAGCTTCCGCTTGTCTGTGTTGGCCAAAGTCATCGGGAAACAAGGAAATGTGGGCATCTCAAAATACAGGATGGAAAAGCTGAAACTGTAGTGTGCGCAGTAACTGTATCCAATGGCAGGAGCAGAAGCCACGGAGCCAATGCTAACAGAAAAAAAGGAAAAGCAAAGGCACTCCACTGCTTGCAGAAGTTTTAAAATTAGAGTATTTTAGTGAAAACCTCTGATGATTCTTGACCAAAAATGTGACTCCATACATTCGAAAAGATATTTTTCAAGAATCTAGCATGCAGCAGCTTGTATCCAAGAGTATACATCATTCTTTCTTAACATGGTTGTTAATATACAGTTAACGTGTCTCAGAAAAAGGCTGTAATTAACTGTCTACTGCTCTAATAACACTAATAAGCATACAGTATGATTAAAATACAATGACTCCATACACACTAAGGCTGTCATTTTTAAACTTTTAAGATAATGTTCTAAATTGTTTCTTAGTCCTCTTAAACCATCAAAAAAGTAGCTCGCCTCTCAGAGTTTTGGAAGCATAGTTATTAAAACAGGGTTCCTGCCTCCCACAGACTAGGGAACTCTTCTACCATTAAGCAAGGCATCTATTGTTTCACTTAGGTTATTTAGTGGATTCTACAGAATCTTTTAAAATGTAATATGGTAAGCATTTGTATTTTGTCCTTCATTCATTGGTAAAATGTTTTCTTGGAGAAGGACTGGCTTGCTAAATATCAAGAATCACATAGAATTAATTGTTGTTGATCGCCAATGATTCCCATTGTCTGGTTCACTGGAATAGGAAAACCCGATTGCATTCAACATCAAACAGCTAATTATTGCAACAATATACTCAAGGATACCTTCATTTCAAAAAATATCTGCATACAATGACTGTTATTTTATTTATAAAAGTATTACAATAAAATATTTATAACATAAAACTTGTTTTACCTTAAAGTCCTTACTATACTAAACATTAAAAGGCCAAACTGTCATTTACACCTTTTTAACAGCACATCATAAACCACTGAGTAAGATTACAGAGGACTCTCGAGCCATCAGCTCTGGCTTCCAGGAAAACTGCATCTGAAGAATTCCCCACTACACAGATGACACACTGTCTTTTCTTTAAACACCTCAAGGAATGAAGGACTAAGAATTTCCCTCGTGGAGACTACTAGCATATTTTACCCCTCAACAATGAATACCCACTGAGAAACTGTCCTTGGCTCCTGGTCTCAAATCATCATGAGAAAAAAGCAATATCCCACAGAGACAAACGCCCTTCAAAGCCTGTCAGTCTCTGTGGCTGCAACCCTGATTCTCCACATGGAGCTGAGTTCCTGGAGTAACTTTTCTGACACTTACCCTCTCAAATACCAGAGGTTGATCTCCAAAGGTAGCCCTAGAAGAAGGGTCTTTGATGGGGTGACAGTGCTGAAGTTCTCTCTGGCACACTAGCAAGGCAGGCACATCTCAAATGAGGTGGTAACCAGTTGCCTGGGAAGCAGCTGGACCATGTCTGCAGATCTGAGGGTGCGCCACAAATCAGGTCACAGCTCTGAGTAGAGTCCACCCCCTTCATCTGGGTACAACGCCCTCTACTTCCGGCACACCTGGGTGGGGGGAGAGAAGGGAGCAGCGGAGGGAGGCTGGCTTAGATCCACAGGCATTCTAGTAAAGTCACAACCAGGTGGAGCCAGACATCTACCTCTTGTGCATGGGTTTCACCCTTATTACTGGGTGATGCACCCCTAGATACTCAAAAATAAGTGTCTCTAAAATGAGTGATGGGTAAAATAAAACAATATACACTTAAATGTTTTATCCATCATGATCTTCCCTCCCCAGAAACAGAACAGACTCTGAATGTTTGATTACAAGCTACTTCTCCACCAAATGTCAAGTAACTGCACCAAATAAATTCCAGCAGAAAGTAGTGGTATAAATCCTGGGATATCAGTTAACTGCTTTTCATCCCTCAGAACTGAACTAGATCCCTGACTAACTGAGTCACATCCTTGGAAGTCCACTGAAGGAGGTGGTTAGAATTACTATTACAAGCCTTCAGACAGCAACAACTGTGCAAGTGATACAGAATGACTTGAAGGAATAAAAATAGGCCAATATGCTAGAGAAACGCTCTACTACTAAACCTCACCCAGAATACATATACACACAATCTGTATCTATTTACTCTAAAATGAAATATCTGATCTTTAAAAAGACTAAAAAAAAAATAAACAGCAAAAGGTACCGTTGGCATAAGATCAAAAGTACAAAATAATGTGTGTTAATGTGTTGATCACACTATGAAGACATCAAGTTTAAATAGACTCACCATTGAGAACAGCAGTTAGCAATGATATATAAATTACCATAGGAGATGCTTTTTCTTTGGGAGAGTGGAGGGAAGGAGCCTTGTGTAACAGATTTGATTCACATGCTTGCTGTATTAAGACCATATTCTGTACTGATGTCAGTAGAGAATGTGGTTAGAGATTGACAACTATACAGGCAATAAGCTCGAGAGATCCTTAGACAATTTAAACAACAATAAGCCATTTCTCGAGTTAGTCATGAGTTTGGGCATTCAACTTTAGCAGGATGTTGAGGTTTCAGGGGAACGAAGTTAAATATATTCAGTATTATAAAATAAAAGTGGCAACAACCCTTATTTTGAGGATGGCAGATTAACAACAAGAAAAATAAGAAGGCAAGAGTATGTCTAGAGGGGAGCTAAGAAGCAACCACTCAACCAGGAAGCCCTACTTTATAGGCCTGTTTGCAGAACTCCATTAAAAACTGAAACATTCTGTCCAAGAACTGGAGAGGAAGAGCCCGTATCACAGGCGTGATCTAAGAATCAGATAGTTTGATCTATTTGGAACTTTGTAGAAAGTTAATTTAGTAAATACATACTTGAATGTGCTTGAACACATCTGTCCAGGGGATGCCTCAGGATGACTGTGCTCAGTGGCATGCCAGCACGCTGGGAGTTTGACGCCGCAGTGGGAGTGCAAAGGAAAAGTGTCCAACATTCCTCCCAGCTAGTTTTCACATGGCAGAAATGAGAAGATGGAATGACTCTTCTTTAAAGTTTTGCTACCAGAGAATGGGAAGAAAAACTGCTCTCGACCCTTTCCTCTCAACCAGGAAGAGTGTGAATCCCTGGGTTACAGCCCAGGTAGATATTAAAATAGAGACAGAGCCGTTATTTAGTGGTGACAGGAATATAAATACGTGCACTAACCTATAAACTGGTATTTACTTCAGGAAGGTAAGTAATATTTTTCCTCTGATTGCTGAGCTGTCAGTTTAATGCAGCGTAAATAAACAGTAGGTGCCTGCTAGCTCTAAGTGGGAAGTGCTCACTGCACACGAGGAGCAGATTACTGAAGCCTGGTGCTCATCATGCTGAAACATAACTTTCACTTTACCAGAAAATATACCCTACTGTGGGTTATTTTTCGTGCCTGATCTATTAATTAACTTAACTCTATTCTGCCAAAATGTAAATTAATTTGTAAAAAAAATCACCACAGAGTTTTGGAATATGAAAACCAAATCAATTTCAAAAGCAAATACTAAAAATGAATGCTTCATATAATAAGCACAAGCTATTTAAAGACAAAAAGGATAAAGAACATATTTAAATAACAGAACTGAATAACCTGAGTTATTTACTTTACTCAAAATCTTCCCCTGCTAATTAAAAGCAACTGGCACCTCTAATATTCTATCACCTTATGCTAGTGTGGTCTTTTCCATATACATGCATAGTTTGCTCTCTGAAATGTCTAAAGGGAAACCATTTATAGGAACTAAGCTGCAGTCTCTTATTTCCATAGGAAGAGCTCCGATTACACCAGAGAGAACAGCTAGGTCGGAAGGCCCTTCCTAGCAGCATTTGTGTACAATGTGGTTTTCTTTCTATTTTATGTACGACACAAAGCTACGGCAATACATACCAACTGATTTTCCCTTCTATATATAGGTGCTGAGAAAAATATTTTGTGGCATCATTTTAAATGAGAATTCATCTACAAAGTGTAAAAGGGCACTTGGCAAGGTCTTCCATGTAAAACATGAACGCAATTCTGATATCCAATCAATAATTTGCAAAGGAAAAAAAGAGGTTTTTTTTTAAAGATAGAATATTTTTGCATTCAACTATAATGTCTAGACATAATTAGAAGATTGATTTAGTCATATGCATTTATGTACTTCATCAGTTCCAAGTACTAATATAATATTAATTGCAATCATCCAAGATAACATGTATGGAAGAAATGATGTGTTTATAAGCAAGGCCTATCTATGTATGTCCTGTTTGGAAATTTACAGAGCAGGTGAAAACCACTGGAGTGCTTTAGAGAGCCTCTGTTATATACCCATGTTGTGTTTAGCTTAACACTGTTTGTAACCAAAAGATTTCTACAATAATGAGGAACAGGTGCCTGTCACCTGACCTTTTAGGCCTAATTTACAACTCACAACCTGTCACATGAAAAAATAAGTGAAATTCCCTTCTAGATTTTCAGACCTCGCTAGTTTAATGTGTTTCTCAGCCATCACTCTGCAGCAGCATCTTGTTCAGTCACAGGTTCATATAGCTGGCAACAGACTTCTTTGCAGAATAAACTAATATTCATTTTGTTGTTGCTCTTGTTTAAGATGCCGGGAGACAAAGGAACTACTTTTGTAGATCATCAACCAAAGAAGAATATATTAATTTATTACAAGTGAACAAAAGACATTCCTGTTGAATACTTTTACATACAAAGAACTATTATTTATTACATATTTCAGCTTGTGGGAAAGTAAGGAATGCATTGATTCTGGAAATAGCTATGTGGATTTGGGAAGTTCTCTAGGTCTTTATCATTGTTCTCCCCTACCTCGCATACATTTAAAGAAGCTGTTACTTCAGGGAGGAAATCCCTATTTGTTCTTTTTTCATCCATCATCTATATTCATTATTCAGAAAGGAAAACAAAATTGAGCAGTGATTTTATTTCTCTTGCATAACCTTGTTACATGTAGCCATATTCAAATTTAACAATGCTTTGTATTTTATTGCTACTGTTTACATATTATGTATTACATATGACTGAACAATTCTACATTTAAAATATTGTTTCCATTAGAAAAAAATGAACTAATAAGTGTCAAATGGAGATGAAGAATAAACATACTTGGTATATTTATAAGATGGGATCATTTAAAATGCACACAAATAGGATGAATATTTTGCTACTGTTACATGTTATATAGTTTGCACACTGCTTAAAGTGTATTTATTTAACAATGCCCTTAACCAAGTTAATTAAAGTATTTCTGCCTGGTGACTGTGTTAAAGCTTGGGAGGTAGTGAATGATGCTGCCAGTTACTTCTGCTAAGTTAAGTTGAAATTAAGCACTTATTATAACCTTTCCTAACAATGTGAGAAAGACTGAGTAAATATATTAAATTTGTTTCACAACAGATGCTTGGGTTGTTAATATTTAAGATGCCTATTCATGCTATTCCTGTCTGCACATTTGTCAAAAATGTAAGCTTGAATGCTAATGTTTGCCAGCAGACTGGAGCAGCCAGTCTATGCACTTACTACTGTTCTACTAAAATAACATGCCATAGAAATAGAGAACCGCTGCTAAGTCATACCACAAGTTCTACATGGGAGATTCATAAAGGTTTTTAGAACCAACACCTCGACCCTGGCTTTCCTCGGACTTAAAAATATGGTCATGATTTATTTATTTATTTATTTATTTATTTATTTATTTATTTATTTATTTATTTATTCACTTATTGCAGGGGAATCTGACTACAGAATAAATCTCACTCTTTCAGAAAATCCACTTTGGATAAGGTGTAAATTTAAGCAAAGTTTGGAAGGCTGAGCTACTGTCAGCAGCCCAAACACTGTAAATTCCAGGTACTACTTAAGGACAAAACCTGACTCCTAGCAGACAGAGACCCTGACTCTTGCTCAATCATCCCCTCCTCTGTCTTCTTGGGAAAGTCTGGTGCTCTGGCCTCCAAGGATACAAACATGGAACCCCAGGCAATCAATCGCGAGCAGATAGGGTCTCTCCAGGGAACTAGATGTCTTCCCTGTCCCTATGCCCAAGTGAAATCCAAGTCGTAACCCTGGGACTATGGTATGCCTCAGAGAAAGTTCTCCCAGGAAGGGCATAGCGATCAAAGTTGTCAACCGGGCATTTTGAGAGATGACCCCGTGGTTGACATTTTAAGTACAATCTAGCCCTGGTGGAGGCCAGGGTCAAAACCTACCCTGAGCTCTACGCTGCTCCCCCTCTCTCAGTGTTCTGGGGTCATCCCAGAAGGGACTTCTTTAGCGCCTTTTGCCCGGTACACGCACGTGTCACTCTCCGTACCTGTCACCTGCCTCCTCAGTTCCTCGCACCGGCTCTCCAATCCCAGTTCGGCTGCCCTGCAAGCTCTGCAATGGAGGAGCACTGGAAAAGGCCGCTTCTCTCTAGTGTGGAACTTAACAGGGAACCGAGGAGTTGACCCCAGTGCTGCACCTGTGCGGCCAAAACCCCAACTAAGACAGCACGCATGCCTCCCAGCCTTCCGCCCAAGCCCAAGCCCAAATCACCCTCCAGGGCCGACCGGCGATCGCCAGCGAGGGCTCTACAAGCGCTGTACTTCGGCTCTCAAACTCTGGGATCCAACTTGAGCGCCCAGCGCCCGAGTGGCTCCCGGGATAGAGAAGTTGCCACAAACTTCCCGGGCCCCTCTCCATCGCCTCCCGCCACCAGCCAAGCAGTGCTGGTCGGGATAGGACAGGGGGAGATGGACCAGGATAGGATGCTAAGTGGACTCCAGATCCAGAGCGCGACCTTTCCACTCCACCCGGCACCTCGCCGCCTTCCCGGCACCAGGGCTCACGAAGCGGCTCCCTTTCCCCGCTCGCCCGCTTACGGCTTCCCCCCTCCGCCTTTCTCCTCTAAAGAGGGCCGCCCCCACGACCTGAACGAAAGTGTCCAACTAGAGTCTGCCAGGCAGGTGTGCGAGAGAAGCAGGACACCAGGAAAGTACGCATCCCGGCCATGTCCCTCACTTCACCAGCCCAGTCCTCCCGAGTGCCTGCGCGCGCGCGAGAAGGGCCAGCAAGACCCCGGCTCGCAAGGGGCGCAAAGCCGCCCCAGCCGGGGCCGCGGAGAAGTTTGGATCGGTTCCGCATCCTCAGAAAACGGAGGCGAGTGGAGCAAGAGACCCAGAGCGTGAGCAGCACCGGCAGGGAGCAAAGGAGCGGGACTCACTCAGGCGTGGAACCGGGGCAGCGCGGGCCAGCGGTGCGGGCCGAGGCCGGGTCGGCTCCCTGCGCTAGCGCGCCGGGCGGCGGACTTCCCGGGCGGCGGCTGCGGCTGCTGCCACCTCCCCGCCTCCGAGCTGCGGCCGCCGCGGAAGTTAATGGCAACTTGACTTCAAGTTGTCTTCTCTCCCCATCCGAAGTGGGCGTTTAAAGGGGGCAGAGCGCGGCGAGCAGCGAGCGGGGAGCGCGCGGGGCCGAGGGGGAAGGGAAGGGGCGGGGGCGGGGCGGGGCGCGGGAGGGGGCGCGGGAGCCGCTCGGAGCCCGCAGTGTACAAGGCTGAGCGGGCGATCGGGGCGCCCCCCCCAAGAGTCCCCCACCGCTGCCTGGGGGGCGCGCATGCGAGGCGCGCCGCGCACTCGTCGCTCGCCCGCGTGGGGGGCTCGCGGACCCCGCAGCGGGAGCGACCGGGCCGGGCCTGCCTCCCCCGCGCCGGCGGCCGCTTCTCCCCCTGGCGGCGGGATCCTGGGCGGCCGGTGGCTCCGAGAGCGCGCAGTGGAGCCCGAGCCGAGCCGAGCCCGAGCCACCGCGGCCGCCACATCCCCGCTCGCCGCCCGGGTGCGGGGTCTCTGCGGGAGAGCGGCCCTGAGCGCCGCCAGGGTAAGTGTGGGCGCACCCCGGAGCCCCACCGCCCGGGCCCTCACCTGCACTGCCCTGGCCGCGCACCCTGTCGCCCGCTGCTTCCTCTTGTCGTTGTTTGCCTGGGCTTTGGGGGTGCGGAGCGGGGCACTGGTGTGTGTGCCAGCGGAGGAGGAAGTCAGGTGAGAGGCCCTGAGCACCCACCCCCCAAGCCAGCCTGTGTGGGGTGTGTCGCTCCCCAGTAGGGGCACGCGGGCCAAGTTTTCCCCCCTCTTCAGTGTTTGATGGAGATCTTTCCTAGAGGGGGCCTCCCTTCAAACTGATGGGCTCTCCCTTCTTTCCATCCTCTTCTCTCTGGATATCCCAGTCCTGGAGCTCCGCACCCCTAGTGAGGAGCACGTAGCGGACGGAGGATGAGGGGGCCTTTTGCAGACCCCCTTCTCCGACCCAGCCGTTTGTATTAGTGCCATTTTTCGGTCGGCAGCTGTAGGTCGATGCAACTCACCAGAACGAGATGTTTAAGCTGATGTCTGAATCATCTCTGCCACCACCCACCCAAAAGATGGGGCAAAGGGGTCAAGAAATGCGGATTTCATAGGAAGAGAGGCAGGGCCCAGGGACCTTTCCAAGCGGAGAAAATCCAAAGAGCTCTGAAAGATCAAACTAGCTGGAGGCTCGGGACCCCCGAGCTAAGGAGAAACTGGACTCTGTTAACTTTAGCCCACTCCTCTGCCACTCCTCCCACCCCCCAGTTCTAAAGCAGCTATCAACTAACAGGTCTTTTGTTTCCTGTTGTGTCGCCTTTGGGAAATTTGCATTGAATATGACGACAGAAAATTACTACTGTTTACTCAAAGTTAAGGGGGTTGCAGAACGAAAACAGTTTTTACTTTTCTCTTTGTGTGTTTGGCAAGGAGTGGAGCTGTTAGGTTCGTGGCAGGAATTGCAGAAGCTCAGTTGTAAAAATAAGGACTGTAGAACTGCCTGGGTCTGTTTTTAGCAGCTGCACTTTCTTGAGTTCTTTCACATAAGGCTTGCTCTCTCATTAAGTCCCCATAAATAATTGTATGTGGAGCGAAGGCAGTTAGGGCGGCGGGACTGAGATTGCTAGGAGTTCCAACCCTCCAGCGCAGAGCTGTTTGCAGGGAAGTTCCTGGAAAATGACTGTGGGCTGAGAATTCAGTTTTTCCTAAAAGCTCTGTCAGGTCCTCTTCTGTCGGTTGCCTGTGAATCAAGCACGACACGGTGGGTGACTAGCGATTTGAACCTTGGTAGCAAACACTTCAATGGTGCTGTTTTTTGTGAGGTCATTCTAAATGAAGCAAAATGACATGGTTCCGGCTTCTTCCTGAGAGCCCCCTCCCCTGTCTATGCGTGAATTCCCTGGAATTCTCCAGTCTTTTTTCAGCTGATCATCATTTTATGCAAGAGACCATCCCAAAGACACAGGATATAAACAATTATGAACTGGTTTGTTCATCTGGGAATCTACACCCCCGCCCCGGACAAAGAGCCCCCTGGAAACTAAAGCCAATAGCTACCAGTGATTGCAGTGGGCAAAACAATGTAAAACGTGAGTTTCCCGTCGTGGCTCACTTTCTTTCCCTACACGTCCTGGGTGACATCAGATTTTCTTGCCTTTATTTGCCAAGATGCTGAATTGCCAGTGTCTTCACTGAGGACAGCAGGATAGGAGTGGAGGCCCCAAAACACGCTCAGCCTCTGCTGATTATTATTATGGAAGCCTGAAGTGATGCTTAACAGAAATTTGAGATTCAAAAATATATGAACTTTTTTCTTTTTTATACATTCATATCTTTACCTAGTAGTTCAGATTATCTGCTAAGCCTCATAATTTAGGATAAGATCTCTCCTGACTTAAAGCAAGAGGGCATGTTGCTCCCAACATTCCAAATTTCCTTTTCTTCCATCCCTAACTCTGTACAGGCAGAGTCTAGGCTCTCTCAGTGTAAAGACACCCTCACCAAGGTGCCATATACTCACACAGAACCATACACACATGCACAAACACAGGAATGCACACACACAAATCTTTTTTTAAAAAATGACCAGATCTAAGGTATTTTTTATAGCAGCCGGTCTGAAGTGCTGTAATTGTTTAAAGATATTTTAATCATCGTATTCTATGCATGTGGGTCTTTTGCCTACATGTATGTCTGTACACCATCTACATGCTGGTGGAGGCCAGAAAAGGGTGTCTGTATGGGATCCCCTGAAGTTACAGATGGTTGGTTGTGAGCTGTCATGTGGGTACTGGGAATGAACCAGAGTCTTTTAGAAGACAGACACTATTCTAAAGCAATGAATAGCCCCCATTAAATTTTTCTAACAAATCCAAATGTAATGTAAGTAGTTGAACAACAAATAAATCTGAAACATGACAAAAGATAAATAATAGTAGTTAGTATCAGTAGCCACACTAATTATTTCAGAGAAGAGATAGTACACTATGGCCTTCTATACAACATACAAGGAGTGGGCTAAAGCGACATTGGCTTTCGTTAGTGGGAAAATAACAGGAGACTGTGAGAAGATGACTACATGGGTCTGTCAGTGAAAGCTCTGAAGCAAGGGGAGAGACTTCTTCCCCTCCCCGACCCTGTGCAACCCTGAGCATGCCTGGTCTCTGAAACAGAGGAAACTGGGCCCCTGAGCTGACATGGTGGGTAGAGGTGTTTGCCACCAAACCTGCCCACTGACTGTGGTCCCCAGGTCCAAGATGGTGGAAGGAGAGAACCAACTCCTGAAAGTTGTCCTCTGACCTCTCTCTCCACGGGAACACACCCACCCACACAACACACAAATGTAACTTTAAAATTTGTTTCTTAGGAAAAGAAAATAAAGGCTGAGGATCTGGATTAGAAGTTATTTTTATTGCTAATTCATCCCATCAAACCTTCAGAGATCATTTATTCAGAAGACTTAAGTGGATACCCTCATAATGAATTTGGGGTTCAGAGCTTGCCACAGAATAGAGTTCAGTTCAATTCCCACAGTGTTTACTATGGGGATTTTCAAAGTCATTCATTCTGTCTTTGTGTACTTTACTTTTTCTTTCTCAAGCTGTACAGAATTGGTGCTCTTGACACTCACAATCAATATTTATAGTCTGGTGTTTGTAACAGAACAGAGCAAATTCACCAGGATGGGCTTTTGGCTCGAGTAACAGTTCAGATTTCTAGTAGCCTGTGATCAGCCACAAGTGCTTCTCGGTCTTCTCACTCCAGGACATAAGCTGATGGAACAGTCACCAGCTTGAAAGTTTCATGTACTCCCCATTGTAACCCTAAAGAAATCCTCAAGTTGCTTTTGTGAGATTTTTTGCTACAGCAATCTGGGGGGTGGCATGCTGGCATTTGTGAGGTGACATACATCATTTGGGCTCAGCAGTATTCTACCAGGACTCCTGTGGCTCCAGGGAGTCATCACAAGGTAACTGTGGTGTTCAAGACAGATCCAAGGACTCCTGTTCTGCTTGTGACCCTTGCTCTGGTGGACTGCCAGCTGAACTGTCCTGTCTTGCCACTCTGTGGCCCAAATCTTCCATGTCCTGGGTAAGAATTGCCAGAACGGCACCAACTTATAGGGAGACACAATGTGACCCTTTCAGTGAGGAACAATCCCCACCAGAGTAAGTCAACCCCGTCAATTTTACATTAGTATTTTACACTGACTAATGTCACACATTTTCTTTTTTCTCAAGACTTGTTTTCCTGGCAAAGGTATGATAAAATAGTACTGTAATTAATATTTATCTAAAGATGTCATTATAGTTCAAAATCTGAACGTTGACCTTGAGCAATCACATCTCACATTGTTATTATCAAATGGTTTATATACCCTTGTAATACAAGAATATTTGTTCATTCACCATTTGCCCCACGTTTTCTTCATTCAATAAATATTCTTAAGTACCGAGTAGAAATCAGGAGCTCTGTTAGGAGTTGAGGATAAGGACATTAAGAGTTCTCTTCAAGAAGGTGTTTTCCTATTGGGCAGGAAAAAGCCCTTGCAATGCTAATAGAGGACCTGGGCCCATGGGAACCCCTGGGGTGAGCAAACATTCTAGCTGGAGGCATTGAAAAAAGTTCCCTGGAAGAACTGACAAGAGCTAAGTCTTGAGGCTAAGTGGGATTCCTTTAAGAACAAAAAGACAGGAAGGAAGGGTATCTGAAGCAGAGCCCAGTGTGGACACTAGCCCTTGTTGGGAACTGTGAGGAATTCAGTAAAGTTTGAAGCTCACTGAATATATGTAAAGACTGAACCCAAACTGGTCCACATTGTGAAGGGCTGTGCGTATGTTCTTTGGAGTTGGATCATTCCATATTCCTAGGACTGAA